AATTCACATTGTCCCAGTTTTTTTTTTAAGTCTCTACATCCCACTTCTGGGTGACTTAGAATGATATATTTTTCCTTTTAAAATTTAATATTTTCTAAACTTTTATTGAAAGTAGTATACATACTAAAGTCTATGTCTATATTTCAAAGCACAGTAAGATATTTGAATGGATTCCTTTTTTTTTTTTTTTTTCTTGAGATGGAGTCTTGCTCTGTCTCCAGGCTGGAGTGCAGTGGCATGATCTCGGCTCACTGCAATCTCCACCTCCCTGGTTCAAGTGATTCTCCTGCCTCAGTCTCCTGAGTAACTGGGACTACAGGCACGCATCACCACACCCAGCTAATTTCTGTATTTTTAGTAGAGATGGGGTTTCATCATGTTGTCCTGGATGGCCTCAGTCTCTTGACTTCGTGATCTGCCCACCTCAGCCTCCCAAAATGCTGGGATTACAGATGTGAGCCACCATGCCCGGCCGAATGGATTCCTTTTAACCTTCCTTTCTGGATGTCTACCTACTGCCTTCAGGGTAGCTTACCAGTCCTTTGTCCTGGAGGCACATCATCAGTGTGCACACATCTCCTGTTGCCTGATGATTCACCAACATCACTGCTTCATCTTTTGAAACTGCTTTAATATCTTCTCCCCATTCCATCACTGTAAGAATAAAAAGTTTCAAAGCTGTCATTTTAAAGATTTTTATAATATCACAAACCTTATATTAGAAAAACTGATGTATATTAATGATATGTCACCTAGTTAAAACATCCAAAAGTTTACAACTAAGTTTATTTCCTATGCAAATCAGAATGTTAATATAACTTTTATAGAGCCCCCAAATATACATTAAAATATAAAATGATCTTTCTTTCTTTCTCTCTCTCTCTCTCTTTCTTTCTTTCTTTCTTTCCTTACTTATTTTTGAGACAGTCTAGCTCTGGCACCCAGGCTGGAGTGTAGTGGTGCGATCTTGGTTCACTGTAACCTCCACCTCCCAGGTTCAAGCAATTCTCCTGCCTCAGCCTCCAAGTAGCTGGGATTACAGGTGCACACCACCACGCCCAGCTAATTTTTGTATTTTTAGTAGAGACGGGGTTTCACCATGTTGGCCAGGCTGGTCTCAAACTCTTGACCTCAAGTGATCCACCTGCCTTGGCCTCCCAAAGCGCTGAGATTACAGGCATGAGCCACCATGCCCAGCTATGGTCATACCTTTGATCTAGAAGTTCTATTTCCTAGAATTTATCCTACAGAAACTTTTGTTCAAATAAGCAAAGATATATGTATAAAGAATGTTTATCACAACTTAAATGTTCACCAACAAGGGCATGGACAAGAAAATTATGATGTAATAGGAGAGTATAAACCCATTAAAATAATGGAGGATACCTCTTATTCACTAACCCAAAAAAGACATATTATCAACTAAACAATGCCAAATCACAAAACAGTAAATATAGCATGATCCCATCTTTTTAAAGCAGGAATACCATCTATGTGTTGTTCAATGCACTGAAAAAAGTCTAGAAAAACAAATTTCAAACTGTTAATACTGATCATCAATGACAGGTGGTTCCCAACCCTTCAGATTCTATTTTTATAAGAAAATATTCAGACATAATAATACATACTTTCACCTTAAAAAAAGAAAACTAATAAAAATGCCAAATTATTTGAAGTTATCAGATGAAAAGTCACTGCACCAAAATCCATCGGTACATTCTAAGGGAAACATTGGTATTTCTATGTAGTTATGCCTCATTTCGTTTTTTATTTATTTTTAATTTTTTTGAGACAGGATCTTGCTCTGTTACCTTGGCTGGAGTGCAATGGTGCAATCACGGCTCACTGCAGCTTCAAGCTCCCTGGGCTCAGTGACCCTCCTACCTCAGCCTCCTGAGTAGCTGGGACTACAGGTGTGTGTCACCACGTCCAGCTAATTTTTGTATTTTTTTTGTAGACACAGGGTTTTGACATGTTGCCCAGGCTGATCTCAAACTTCTGGGCTCAAGCAATCTACCAGCCTCAGCCTCTCAAGGTATTGGCATTACAAGCATGAGCCACCACACTCGGCCACCTCATTTTGCAGTAAATTTATTTCAAGCCTCAGTTTTCAAACATCAGAATTCTGCAAAGAAGCTTCTAGCATTTTTTGATATGAATTACCAAAGGTCGATTCTATATTAGTATTCACTTTTACCCTATCTTTATCTCACTCACTGCTATAAGGAAAGAAGTCAAGCCACCTGTGTGTAAAAGCTCTGGATGAAATAGGGATAGGGAGACCTATTTAGAGCCAATTTTGCACTATATTTCAAAATTAACAAATGCACAAACCTTTTTACCTAGGAATTCTACTTCTAGAAATGCATCCTACAGATACACTCATTTATGTGCAAAATGACATGTACACAAGGCTACTCACTGCAGCTTTGATTGTAAAAGCAAAGATGAAAACAACTAGAAAGAGAGGCTAACTCAAATTCATAGAAACAGTAGAACGGTGGTTGCCAGGGGCTCGGGGAGGGGGAAATTGTTGTTTAATGAGTACAGTGTTTCAGTTTTACAAGATGAAAAAGTTTTAGATATTGGTTTCACAACAATGTGAATATACTTAACAAGACTGAAAAATTAAGTACATTTGAAAAATTAAGATGAATTTTTAAAATTCAGGTGAATTTCATGTTAGCATATTTTACCACAATTAAAAACATTTTTAAGGGAGACCAGCTAAGTAAATTATATCTATGAAATGGAATATTATGCAAACATAGCACTTATGTACTAATATGAAATGATATACTTTAAGTAATAAAAGCAAAGTGTAGAATAGGATGAGGGATGCCATTAGTCGTGGTTTTTTTGTTTTGTTTTTGAGATGGAGTGTTGCTCTTATTGCCCAGGCTGGAGTGCAATGGCGTGATCTCGGCTCACCGCAACATCCAACTCCTGGGTTCAAGCAATTCTCCTGCCTCAGCCTCCCGTCTAGCTGGGATTATAGGCATGCGCCACCATGCCCAGTTAATTTTGTAGTTTTAGTAGAGACGGGGTTTTTGTTGGTCAGGCTGGTCTCGAACTCCCAACCTCAGGTGATCCACCCACCTCGGCCTCCCAAAGTGCTGGGACTACCGGCCTGAGCCACCACACCCAGCCTAGTTATGTTTTTAAAAAGGACAGAGAATATACTAACCAAATGAAAACTCCCCATATGCCCCTCTTGACAACCCTCCAATGGAGACACACGGACATACGAACACACAAACACACACACACATGCACAACATTCTTTCATTAATACATTCTTCATTCAATAAATCAGCATCAGGCACGGTTAGGTATTGTGGATATAAAATAAATAAAAACATTTCAAGTATTATTCTAAAGTGAACAGCAGTTAAAACTCAAGAAAGACTAGCTTGGTTCTATAAATAGCGGGTAATGTGGAAAGTTTTCTGGCTCTCCATCTGTATTAATAGATGTCTCATAACCAAATAGTCCTTTAACACAGTCTGTGCTGCATGAGTGGAAAATACTAGATACCTAGGCCCATGCAGTGGGAAGACATATATGTCAATATAACTGCAAATAAGAATAAGATTTTACATAAAATACATCTTATCTGTTTGCTTTATATAAAGCAGATAAATCTAGTAAGTGTGACTGGTTTAAATATGAAAATGTAAATTGAATTTGGATCTCTCTGTACTGGGTTGAACAGTATACTCTAAAAATTCATGTCTACCCAGAATCTGTGAATCAAGATGAGGTCATACTGGATTAGGGTGGGACCTAAACCTAAATCCAGTAAGACTGGAGTCCTTATAAGAAGAGGAAAATGTGGTCAGAGAGACACACAGGGAGACCACCATGTGATGACAGAGGCAGAGATTGAAGTGACGCACCTACAAGCCGAGGGACACCAAGGATGGTGGACAACCACCAGAAGAAGCTGGAAGAGGCAAGGGAGGAGCCTCCCCAAGAGTCTTTCGAGAGAGCATGGCCCTGCTGACACCTTGATTTCAAGACTTCTAACTTCCAGAACTGTGAAAGAATAAATATCTGCTGTAAAATCCAGTTTGTGGTAATTTGTTATGGCAGCCCTAAGGAATTAATATAATCCCTCCCTCAATTTTTCCCATCCTCTCTTTCCCCTTTCCATTCTATTTTCCCCAAAATTATAGTCTTTCTTTTCTTATCAAGTATAGGAAAAGAATTGCATTATACTTTTAATACTGAGAACATTATATATAATCTAACATTAGGTATTATAAATGGTTTTTAATGTTCACTTTTAAATACTTTCAGAAATTATACTTTAAAGTATAATTATTAAGAGTTAATCCACTACATGTTTTATCTCTCAACCAGAACTTAGTCAAAATTTATTTTCAGACCAAATGTCAGTTTACCAAGACTCACATAGCATGCTAAATCAAAAAAGTGAAGGTGGTCAGGTGTGGTGGCTCATGCCTGTAATCCCAGCACTTTAGGAGGCCAAGGTGGGTGGATCACTTGAGGTCAGGAGTTCAGGACCAGCCTGGCCAACATGATGAAACTCTGTCTCTACTAAAAAATACAAAAATTAGCAGGTGTGGTGGCATATGTCTGTAATCACAGCTACTTGGGAGGCTGAGGCACAAGAATTGTTTGAACCTGGGAGGCAAAGGTTACAGTGAGCCGAGATTGAGCCACTGCACTCCAGCCTGGATGACAAAGTGAGACTCTGTCTCGAAAAACAAAACAAAACAAAACAAAATGAAGGTACTTAGATCAACTCTTCTTTTTTTTTCTTTCTTTCTGTGTTTTTTTTTTTTTTTTTTTTTTTTTTTTTTTAAGTCAGGAACTCCTGGGCTCAAGCAATCCTCCTGTCTCAGCCTCCCAAAGTGCTGGGATGACAAGCATGAGCCACCACACCCAGTTTGGATCAACGTTTTACTAAGAAATTATCCTGAGGTAGCAATAAGGTCATGTTGAATTTTATAATAATCCTAATTTTATTCAATAACAAATTTAATTTCCAATATATATGGTATTCTTTTAGAGCATCATTTAAGGACAACTGTTAGAAAGTTAAATCACCAACAAAATCAAGATTAAAATGAGCAATTTATTACACAGATGAAGTAGTTATGCTCCTCAGATTATGCCCTGCTATCCCAGGACCAGTAAATAGAGTAATAAAGCTAATATCTTAACCAAGGGATAGAAAAGAAGCTATGGATGCCTGCCAGTTCTTACACTGCACTTGACTGGAAGAACAAAAATATTCTAACACGCTGCTCTATGAAATGAATTCTCAAAAAAGAATTGGGTCAGGTCTACTACTTCCAAAGGGAAAAAGGACAACTGAATAAAAACTGGAGGAAAAATTTTCTAATTGTAATAAATTTTAAAATTGTTATTGAAAACCAAAGCTAAGGGTTATCATCTACTACATACACACACAACACATGCACACACACACACACACTCTCTAACATGTATATCAATATACTTTTCCCAAAAGTTACAGATTAGAATTAATCTGGACAGTTCACATCTCAAAAAGAAAATAGAAACAACAACCCATCAAAAACTCCTTAAAACAGTGACACTAAAGCCATTTATACTGGCCCACAAAACAGAATTAACGGAGAGAAGAAAGGTTGCTTATTATG